TGCCTGAGTCCTGTGCCATTGGGGAGAGCCCTGTGCCATGAAGCCTGTGGTGCAGGTCATGGGGCTCAGCGAGGGCTGCAGGAAGAGGGGCAAAGCCAGCCAGGCTCCATAGCACAGAGGTCCCTGCCATTCCCCATGCCCTGCACACAGCAGTGAATGGGGACAGGCTGCTGGCTCCATTGCACAGTGCTCCTCCTCCAGAGGCACATGGCTGGGGCAGAGAACCCAGGAACTGCATGCGAGCCCTGGGGAGCTCCGTGCAGTGGAGCCAGGTGGACCCTGCCAGCCTGGGCGGCGCACTCCTGACACTCTTCCCTGGGCACCTGCCAGCAACAGTGCAGGCCCCACACTCCCACTCAGCTGCCATTTGCTGCCTCCTGTCACTGCCACCGCTTTTTCCCCGCTGCTGCTTTTCCTCGTCACCACCCTTCCTGCCTGTCACCGCTCTTAGTCCACTCACTGATGCTGCTTTCCTACCCGCGGGGCCAGGGTCAGGGCCATCCTGCAGGCGTGGTTGGGAGTGCGGCATGCACTGCCCCCACAGGAATGAATGGGGCTCATCCCCATGTGAGCACGGCATGGGGGGCTGGGCTGGATACAGTGAATTGGTAGGCACCCGCCTGCGGGCCGAATTAAATTGCCTGGCAGGCCAGATCCAGCCCTTGGGCCGTATTTTTCCCACCCCTGTGTTAGAACGACATAATAGGCTGTTTATTTTGTTTCTTGAATGTTGAGAAAGGAAAAGCCAAAAATATTTGGATTTGCAAGGGGATTTTAATAATCTGTAATCTGATCTGAATTTAGCACATGCTCCTAGGAGGGATTTTAGTGAGTGCTTCAGATCAGGTGTAAAGACGGTCATTCAAGGTTGGTTCTGCCTCTCTGGTACTGCTTGAATAGAGACTGACTAAAATTGCCAGAATAACTCCCTTCCTTGCAAGTTGCACACTGAAATGACACCTCTCATCTTTAAAGAGTTCTGTTAAAAGATGGATTACAACATGAAACACTTCACTGTGAAATCGAGGCAAATGTTGGGTTTAATCTAGTACTTCCACTTTATCCTGTGTAAAAGTTAAGCGTAGATCTTGTCCTGTGTATACAACTTTATTAATGAGCCTGTTTAGTCTGATATGTTGCTTTTTTGAGATGTATTAAAATCCTGTTTGCTGTGCAGCGAACAGGGAGAATCCTGTTTGATAGCAGCAAACAGGGAGAAGCAAACTGGACAGTTTGCAAGCAGTTCACTGGGAGCAAGAGGAGGAAGGGGAAGCGGAACCAAGCACGAGGCATCAGATCCCGCTCCGGGAAGGTAACTCAGCCAGGGTTGCCTGTGTGCTTGGCCTGCTGAGGTCTGTTTGGTGGGTTTATGTGCTTGGTTGTGCTCTGAGCAGCTGAGTGGACTGATTGCTGATTGATTGCTGCCTGGGTGTGACAAAGGAGCCTGGACAGTCCAAGTGACCAGGGGAGCAGCAAACGGAGAAACAAACAGGACAGTTTGCAAGCAGTTCGCTAGTCAGTTTGCTGCCTCTGTCCTGGAAGGGGAGCCTGAAAGATAAGCTGCTTTTTATATGTAATTAGTACTGACTAATCTACATAGTTTTATTTTAGCAGCTAAAACTCAGCAACTAGACCAAGACTTAAGCCCCTTGTTTAACTAGAGTCCAGAGTGAGGGGGAGTTTGCTTGGAATCTCTCTCGCATTCCTTTACTATAAGCTTGCTGAGAGGAAAGAGATTGCAGGGAAAAGGGAACCCTTCTCAGATCAAGGAAGAGCAAAGAGGCCATCTGCAGAGGAGTTTGCTAGAGAGGGTCTGCCTGGAAAGAGAGGCAAGAAGCAAGAGGCTGCAGATTAGGAGACCCAGAGATGTAGCTGGAGGGCACTGCAATCCCAGAGCCGCTGCCTCTTCCAGCTCTTCCTCTGCTTCCACCTGTGAGGCGTCTGTCCAGGCAGGACCACGCACGGTTGCGGCTTCCACTCAGGTCCTGGTCTAGTGCTGTGCAGACTGCAGCTTGCAGGTTTCTCCCTGTGTCAGGGGATACCTTGGCTAAGCAGATACAGGGCTGGGGGGGAGGGATCAGTCGTTCTGCTCTGGGTTTGTACAGCATCTGGCACAGGACCGTTTTGGGTGCTCTCAGGAAGTCCTGCCACGTTCTGGCCCTCACTGCTGTCCCCTCGAAGCTTCCTCCCAGGGTCCCTGCCCCAGGATGAGAGTGTGAGAAACCAGAAACCAGTCACCTATGGGAGTGTGGGAGCCCGTCCATGCACCATCCGGAGGGTGAAGACTCCTGGGGTCCATCTGTGATGTTGGGGCAGTGGGGGCCACACAGGACTCCTGGGTCCTGTTTCTGCGTGGAGCCAGGTGGAGGAGTGCCTGTGATGTGAGTGGTGCCTTTTGGTGGTGTCCCTCAGGGAGAAGGCAAGAGAGCTACAGGAGGGAGTTAGCAAGGCTCCTGAGCATCCTCTGCCATGAAGACTTCATCCGTTCCACGTTGGAGGAAACCTCTAGGACTGGAGGAAGGACTGCCAGAGGTGGTGCTAGAAGAGGAAGAGGGCCTGGACTCGCAGGAAGGTGGCAGCTTGTATCTTCTGGCAGCAAAAGAGTTGTCAGCCCCATGTGCAGTGGTTTACCTGGAGAACAAATATGGTGCACTAGCAACAGAGGAGGAGGAGCTTGCCCCATAGGGGGAAGAGGCCAGGCCAGAAATCCCCAAGGTGGGGAGAATTGAGGCTGCTTCCATGAAGAGGAGGCGACAGATGGTGGTGCTTGGAGTCTCCCTTCTGTGGGGGAAGGAGGGATCCATGTTCCAGCCTGACCTGTTGTCCCGGGAGGTCTGCTGCATACCTCAAGCCTGGATCTAAGATGTCCCGGAAGGATTACTGAGACCTACCTAACCCTCAGGCTACTACCCCATGCTGCTCATCCATATGGGCACCAGTGGTATTGCCAGGGCAGACCCTGAGCAGATCAAGAGTGACTACAGGGCTCTGGGTGCCAGGGGGAAGGGGACTGGGCATAGGTTGTGTTCTCAATACTTCTGGTTAAGGGAAAGAGCCCTGGTAGAAGATGTATCCTGCAGATCGATAGCCCTGAGGTAAGCGGGGAAGCAGAAGACTTGAAGGAAGAGCACGCAGGAGGGGGCAACAGGGAAGGTGCTCTCCTACTTCCTGAGAAATCAGGGCAATCAACTAGTTACCTCAGGTGCCTGTACACAAATGCACGGAGCCTGGGAAACCAGCAGGAAGAAGTGGAAGTCCTTGCACAGTCACGGTACTATGACATGACTGGAATAACAGAGACGTGGTGGGAGCTCGCAGGACTGGAGCACTGTCATGAATGGGTACAAGGTTTTCAGGAAGGACAGGCAGGGGAGAAGAGGAGGAGGAGTTGCACTGTATGTAAAAGGGCCATATGACTGCTCAGAGCTCCAGTATGAAGCTGGCTGGAGATAGGCCTGTTGAAAGTCTCTGGGTTAAGGAGGGGAGAGCAACAAGGGTGATGTGGTGAGCGTCTGCTATAGACCACCAGACCAGGAGTATGAGGTAGATAAGGATTTCTTCAGACAACTAGCGAAAGCTTTCAGATCACAGGCCCTGGTTCTCATGGGGGACATCAGTCACCCTGACAGTGCTTGGGCAATCCAGGAGGTTTTTAAAGAGCGTTAGAGACAACTTCCTGGTGCAAGTGTTGAACTAGAGGCCATGTTCTTCTTGATCTGCTGCTCACAGATGGGGAAGAATTGGTGGGGAAGTAGTAGTAGACAGCAGTTGGGCAGCAGTGACCACAAGATGATTGAGTTCAGGAT